ACCTGTGATGACTCCAGGGGCTTGAGCAGCCATGACAGCTTGGGGCAAAGCCCCCAGGGGCTGGGCCAGGGTCAGTGCTGGGGATACCAGTCCAGGTGTAGCCAAAGTACCTAGCACTGCTGCTCCAGCCACTGCTTCCTGCAACCGAAAGGCCACCATGATCAATCCCAGTCTAGCTATCTCTACCAAATTCCACCTGAAAAGTCAGTCCCCAAAAGATCAGAGGACTATCCACCCACCGTCAAACCCACCAACTACAGCAGTCCTCACCTGAGCCGTGATCTTAGCTGTGGCTGCTGCTGCAGCCACAGCAGCAGCAGGTGGAAGGCCTCCAGGTGTGGCAGGAGTCAGCAGGGGCATGGGAGGCGTGACAGCCTTGCCCACTCTCAAATACTGGCCACCCAGATCAAAAAGGTTCATGGAGGACACAGCATCCTGTGATGACTGAGCTTTCTCATACTCTGAAGGGCAGGAGCAGCAGTGAGACGAGCCAGGCCCAGCATTAGGTGCCCTCCCCCTTCCTCAACACCCCAAGTTTACCAATGAAGCCATAGCCTTTGTGTTTGCCAGTTGTGGGGTCCCGAGCTAGTGTACAAGACTTGATCTTGCCAAAGGCCTCAAATACACTCTTGATGTCATCGTCTGAGAGGTCCTGGTGCACAGAGGCTACATATATACGGTTGAAGGCCCGTGCCTCTTCTGCCAGCTGGTCTATGATGGGCTGGGCCTGCCCTATGTTGCTGGGCCTGCCTACCTGGAGAGGCAAGGGGATGAAAAGCGCCATCAGCCCGGGCCTACCCTCTACCCATTTCTGTGGCACCACTTCATATTGCCTATTGTGGGGGTGGACAGAGCATTCCATGTGTTCTCAGCTCAAGACTCAACTCTGTTCTCACCTTAATATTTCTGCCCCCCAGCATCACTGAGTTCATCTGCTCCAAGGCCAGTTGTGCAGCTTCTGGGACCTCGTACTCCACAAAGGCAAAGCCCTAGACACAGGGTAGCCCGATTAGGCCAGGACAGTTTTGAGAGGGTGAGCCCAGAGCAGCTGGAATGGACCCAGCCTGCTCACCTTATGTTTCATGGTGACGGAGTCCCAGGACATGTCAATGCTCTTGATGGGGCCAAAGGGGGCAAAGGCTTGGCGAATGGTGTCCTCCCCTAGCTCATAGTAGATGGAGCCCACGTAGACCCGGCACATGATGGCCAGTGCCCGCTGCCGCTGAGCTGCCATCTGCAGCAGGACAGAGGAGAGAGAGCCACTGGCTTGTCAGGAGGGTAGGAGGCTCAGAAGCCCTCTCCCCTCCTGGTCCACCCACCCAGTTCTGCTGTGGGGAGGGCTCCCCCACAGCAGCAAAGTGCAGGCTCAGGCCCTGCAGTCAGGGCACAGGGGTCAGCAGGACCCCATCCTGAGGAACGAAGGCCAGGCCCGAAGACAGGACACAGACGCACCCCAGCCCACCGGAGTCCCAGACAGACTGGCCAGCAAAGCTGACAGGTGGTCAGAGGGAGGGCTATGTGCCCTTCCCCCAGTCCACCCCTCCAGGCTGGAGGACAGGTACCCCACGCTGGGCTGGGAGATCCTCCCACCACCCCAGCCAAGTACAACAACAGAAGAGGGAAGGAGGAGCCAGCCAAGCTGGAGGGACCCACTAGCATGAAGGTCAGAAGAGAGGGTGGCAGAAGACAGGGCAGCCAATGCCCAGAAGAAACCCCTGGGGAGGAACTCAGGAGCCCAGATTAGGGCTGCCTGCAGAGAACAAGGAGCACTTGCTCATGCAGGGCTAACTCAGGCAGGGGTACTATACACTTTCCCCACCTCAACACCCTCCACAAAAAAATTCCTGGAGCCTATAGCTATCATTGAGATCTGGCCCAGGCAAGAGCTGCTGGCCTGGCCCCCATGTTAGGAGGCAGCAGAGAAACGAATGGAGAAGTCTCAGGGCTCCCTGATGCTGGGTAGCTGCCATGCCTAGCAGGCCCAGGTGTTGGCCAGAGCTGGACTGCAGGACCTCCACATGTTCTCAGGAAGGGGGTTCCCTCCCCTGCTACTTCACAGAAGATGTGACAGGTAGGAACTTCTACAGCCATGTGTGGAGGGCTGCAGGAGGTCCACAGACCCCAGGTCTCTGCTCCTAACACAAACAAGGACTCCTCTCTCCCTCACAAAGGGCCCAGTGGCAGAGATCAGTTTACTACTTTTTGTTTTTGTTTATACCAAGGGGTTGAACCCAGGGCCTTTGGACTGAACTGTATCTCTAGCCCTCAAAATCTTATTTTAAATTTCGAGACAGAGTCTTGCTAGGTCTTTAAATTAGCCAGGTGGGGCTCAAACTTGCAACTCTCCTGCCTCTGCTGACCAGATTGCTGGGATTATAGGTGTACACCATCACATTTGGCACCAGTTTATATCAACAAGTTTGGTGTAAGCCCAGCCCTCTGCCACACAGGGGCCTCAAAGGAAGATCCACATGTCCTAACACAAATCCCCATGGTGGGGCCTATGTTCCCTCAAACTTGGAATTCCCTAAAAACCGGGGATGCTCCCTTAAATCAGGGTCCCCAATAAATAGGCCCCAGACCCCTATGTAGAACAAAAACCTCCGAAGATGGAGCCATGTTCTCTTCTCATAGTGAACTCCCCAGACATGAAGCCGTGTCTGGCCCTTGGACCAAAGATCCCCAAGAGAACATTATGTTCCCTTTTAGGGCAGGGCTTCCCAACTATAGGTGAAAAGAGCTTTTTGCCTGACCATATTTCCCACAGACCAGGTCTCTTAGAAGGCTGATGGCTTCTTTTCAGACACACACTTCCCAAAGAGGACACTAGGTGTGTCTCCCGAGACCTCCAGGGATGGCCCTTCTGAGTAGAGGCCCTTGTCCCTCCCTCTGGATTTCCCCAAGACAGGGCCTGGCCTCCTCAGCCTGCCTCTGGGCAAGGGAGGGGCACGTCCTTCCCAGATTCCTCTGCTCACTGTGGCTATGGTCATGGCCCCTGTCTCTTCCCTGGCCATATGACCACTACGTTTTGCTGACAGCCAGACCTGCAGCCCAAGTCTTTGCCCTTCCCTCTCTGCTTGCTTAGGTCCCCAAACCCAACCCCACCCGTCCGTCCTCCCTCCAGGGTCTGATGGAGCCACAAGTTAGGTCCCCTCTCCTTGGGGGCTGACCCCAACCCAAAAGCCCAAGCAGCCTGCAGACTGACAGAGCAGGTGCCTGCAGGTGTGCACCCTATGCAGGGTGGCAAGGGCGCAGACAACCTGGCATCAGCAGCTGCCCTCCCTGGCTGGCTGCCGCGGCTGCCCTCCGCAGTTACCTGGCCGTTAGTTTTAAGGCGGGCCCTCAGAGCAGGTGGAGGCCTCCCCAGGGGCGGTCCCGGGGTGGGTGCCCACACCACTGGCCCCGCCATGCCTGGCGCTCTGCTGCGCTTGTCCAGAGCTGGCGGGCAGGGCCAGCCAGGGGAGCAAGGTCCCCAGCAGTGGGCTGCACTGCCCCCCTCTAGCCCTGACTAAGGACATGAGCCCCGGAAGAAGTGAGCATTTCTATTGACCGATTGCAAAGGTGAGAGAGGATCTCCAAAGCCCATTGTCACTGCTGCCATCTGAAAGACAGTAAAGACAGAGTTCAGTCTGTTGGAGCCGAGCAGTCTCCCGCTCTTGTCAATACCTCACGCAGACAGCGGCAAGGCCCGGAGTCCCCGCCCTGCCTTCCCACACTGCGGCCGAGTGCTGGCTGCTGGCACCTGCCCAGGGGGGCCTCAGAGCCCCAGGTGCCTGTCCTGCAGCCCTTGAAGTAGGGCTGGCCAGGGCACAAGGAAGGGAGGGACAAATGGAGAACAGTGAGCAACCAGGACATCTCCTGGCATCATGAATGTCTGGGGGCTGGGCCAGGGCTGGGGGCTCGAGGCCCAGGAACCTGTTGACTTCACAGAGGCCTCTCCCAGCACAGACATCCAAGCCTCTGGCCTGGAGTAGGGCCCAGGAGAAGCATCCCAGATTGTTCCCTTTGTCCTAGGCCCCAGCCCACATGGTCTGGACTTACTGCAGGGTGGGAGGCTGACCAGGGGACAGAGAGAAACACACCCTACATGCTGCCACCACAGCTGTGCACAGCCTGGGGGACAAGGGCATGGGGGAGACCCAGAGGCAATAGTGGAAACACCAAGAAGGGGAATGGGCAGAACTACAGAGAAGGAATGGGAAAGGGGATGGAGAAGGGGCCACAGCAAGTAACAAGCAAGAAAGGCTGGGCCTCTTGTGTCTTGGGGAGGACCCAGGGGTCCTGAGAATGAGTCCTTGAGAATCTGAGAGTCATAACACCTTCTGGGGGTGGCCACAGGCACAGAAGGAGGAAGAGAAGGAAAAGGAGCAGACGGTGGAAGTGGGGAGGGGCAGTGGAGGCTTCCCAGCCCAGGCTGGGTGGGATAGCCTCCAGCAGAACGAGCCACTGAGGCAGTGGTGGTGGTGGTGGTGGTGGTGGTAGGGAGGTAGGACTCACCTGCAGATTGGTGAGCTGCTGCTGCTGGTGCGCGATGGTCTGCTTCACTAGTACACTCTTGATGCTCTGCTCCATGGCGTATTTCTTGGCCTGTAAAAAATAGCAGTGAGGAGCACTGGGGGCCCAGCCTCCAGGAAGGTGGCTGCCCCCACTGACCCTAGCTCAGCAGCTATACCCACAGTACTCACAAATCATGCTCTCACCTTCTGGAGGGCCTCCTGCTGCTCTGGCGTCAGAGGAGGCAGTCCCAGCTTGGCGGCTGTGCTCTGCCCATTCTCCATCTTGATGGAATCTGTGCCCTGGTGAGAAAACAGGGAAGTCGTTCAGCAGCAACCCAAAGTCTCCTGCACATGGCCCCAGAAAACCCACACCCATCTCCCTAGTCTCTTCCCAGGAAGAAATAGGCCCCAGACTATTTCTCATCTGGCTTGGATGCACGTCTGCTCTTCCCATTATTACTGTCCCCATCCCTGTGTCTCCCTGGGGCCCATCAGTGGGACATAGACTGAGGAAGGCAGGGACCTCAGGGGCCTGGGCCACAACGGGGCAGCTGTGGGCCCATGCAACACCAGCCAAGACAGGGAACAGGGGGTAGGAATCTAGTCCCTTCTTGCCAGCCTGACCCCACAGTTTCCTCTAACCCATGCTACAATCCTGGATTGGTGGTTATTGTAGTGGGGTAACTAGCCTCAGTTGTGCTACAGGAGAGAGAGTAGGATAAGGCAGGACTCGAAGGACCTGTGGGACTCTTGTAAGCCACCTTGCACCTCAGCCACCGGGGTTCCTCATAGTAGCTATGGACAGAGACATGGCTTCTTTGGGGTTTAGGGGCTACCGATGGACCAAGTATGGACCTCTTTCCAACAGTATCCATCCTCCACCTCTGCATATACTGTGCAAATCTTCCAATGAGCCTGAACGCTCACCCAGACCACATGAGCCATACAAAGGGCTCCAGCTGATCTCTACTAAATTCCTACACAGGTAATGGCCAGCTCCTTAGGGGAAGCCAGGAACAGATCAGCCCTAGAATGCTTACAGGCCAGGAGGTGTCTGGGCAGGATAGTCTTGCTGTAGTGACTGTATATCCAATGGAAACTACCAGAATTATGTTTATATTCTTTCCATCAAAGCTGTTTCCATCTTTTTTTACTAGGGAAAGAACACAGCCACATAAGCAGGAAAGCAGCACATCGAGAGCCAGCTGAGCACACCTGCCAGTCTACTAGCTCTAAAGACTACTGGAAAGCTTTCTAGGCTTCCAGAAACATCTTTATGAGGGATGGTAGAGGAAAAAAAGAGGATCCTAATACAGGAGTAACAAGCAAGGACAGAGATAAAAAGTAAGTAGGCAGTGCCAGCTGATCTAAACCCCAAAAATCCCATCCTGGCCATCCAAGTACTGGGTTTCCAGCCCAGAGTCAGAAGGCACAGAGCCTAAAAGGTCCATTCCCGGCAACTACAGTCTGGCTCACACTAAGCTTGTCTATCCTCCCAGCTGGCTCCAAGCCCTACCCTCCTTAGTAGGAGGGGGCTAGAGACCAAGATGGGGATGCTGGTGGAGGCTGTCACCATGGAAATCAATGCCAGCCCCCTGTAACCCCCTGGAAACCTTTCAATCTCCTCTTTGTCTTAGTAAACAAAAGGCCCTTCTCCCAACAACCAATGGCTGACGAACAGTCAGTCATGGCTGGGAGCCTCAGCCCCCACAGCTTCTCAGGATCCAGGCTGCACACTATGTTTCTGTCCACTGTCCCCAACCCCCAGAGGGTGCCTAGGGCCAAGAGGAGGGCCTCACCCCAAGAGGCTGCCAGGCCATCTTGTGGAGGCCTGCCAGGACCCTCTGGAGGCGGGCACTGAAATGAAGAAGCACAAAGATCCCATCACCCAGTAACAACAGAGCCCAGCTCCACTTCCCAGAGGCCCCATTCTCATGGGCTGTGACTAGAAAAAAGATCTGTCCGCATCCACTCTGGAGCAGGGACACAAAAAAAGTGGAGGCCTGAGTCCACGTAACACCTGTGCCTTGACCTAAATGCTACTTTGTTCTACTACTTAATTTTTTTTCCTATTATTTAAATTAGGAGAAAACTAAAATGGAAATCTGGGGCCAGGGATATAGCTCTGTTGCATAAAGCCTGCCTGGCAAGTTCAAAGTCCTGAGTTCAATTCATGGTACCCCCCACAAGAAACCCCCCCCCCCATCAAACAGAAATCTCCATTTTGGGGGTTAAAAAAAATGCTGCCCATTCTAGAACAGCAGGTCCTACCTTCCATACTATTCTGATACCAAAAGCAAGCACAGCCAAGGTCAGTTCCAGTGCCCCTACCTGGTCAGTCCATTGCCAAGTCCTGCCTAAGGCCTGAGACAGAAGAGCTCACAGGGGCGAGGCCAGGCCAGAAGCAGAATGGGGAAGGAGCAGGAGAAGCACGGACCAAGATTCAGGTCTTGCGAGCTACTGTCAGCCCAGAAGGCAGAGAAGGGTCTCTGGGCTCCTCTCCACCTGCCCCGGCCAGGCCTCTATGGCAGGCAGGCAGGCAGGCAGACAGTTGGGCCTGAGGGAGAGGATGCTTAAAGTCAGTACCTGTGGAGGTTTCCATTTGTCTCCCGCTGCCACCACTGCCGCCGCCGCCGCCGCCGCTGCTGCTGCTGGCTCGGACCCCCCTCCTTGCTGGCCATTGACTTGCTGCAGGCAGGAAGGAGATATTGTAACCGACAGTCACACAGATGCAATCACCTAAAACCCCCTCTCTGCTTTCCAAGGGTTGAGCTCCACAGTCAAACAAGGGAGGCCAGGCACAGGCACAAGAAGCACCTAGCTCCAGCAGGGCTCCTAAATATTCCCAGCATACCCCCATCTTACAGTGCCTACTCCTTAAACCAAGACCTCTACAGTTGTCCTGGACGCCGCCAAAAAGCACAGTGGCACTTGGGCCTGGCAGCAAGTCCCTGGAAATGGACAGTATAGAAAGTAAGCAGTGGTTCTGCTTCAAGCCAAGGAAAGCCACCTTCTCTTGCTAACAGACTGAGCAGGCCTGGATGACAAGGTGGCTTGGTAGCTGTCCCCTGGAGCCCCTCCTGAGGCAGCAAGGCTACCTTGTCAGCACCTTGCACACCCACGGTCAGCCCTTATCTCCGAATTAGTCCCAGTTCTTCCATAGGCCCTGGTCAAGTCCAGGCCTCCTTCCCTGACAACCAAGCTATCTAGGGCTTTCTGATTCTTGGAAAGAAAACCATGGTCCACTGTACAGTCTGGACCCACATTAAGAGGATATGCAGGCTGGGAAGCTAGCTCAGTAGAACAAGCCCCTGCCTGGCAATCGAAGGTTCCTAAGTTCAATCTCTGCTACTGAAAGAAAAAAAAAAGAACAAGAGGATATACAGGACCAGGGAGGTGGCTCAGTAGAATAAGCGCTTCCCTGGCAAGCACAAGGGCCTGAGTTCAGTCCCTGGTTCTGAAAAAAAAAAAAAAAAGACATACAGAACATTTGTGCCGAGCCAGCCTCTAAGAAAATGTAGGGTATGCCATGGTCTACTGGGGTGACAAGGGCAAAATCAGGCCTCAGGAGGGGGACAGGAGGCAGACAGAGGTGGACAATGTCATGGGGTGGAAAACTTGGTGAGAGGACCCTGAGACCTATTCCACCTTCTCAGAGACTATACAGCAGAAACAGCAGAATATTCTCACCCATCCAGCTCAGGAGTAAGAACCATAATACCTAATACATAAGGGAAAGCTATGCCTATACCTGGAGCCTCATGGACTATCTCAGAGAAGGGCTGATTTAGTCAGGGCATCTCTCTTAGGCTTCAGCCTTCTAGGGGAAGGAAAGTAGCATAGCCCAGCACACGGAAAATGAAGCCACTAGGGCTGTGGCTGGTTTTGCTTGGAGTCACTTCAAATGCAAATGATTCTAGCAAGGATAAGTTCCAATGCCCAGCTCAGCCCAAACTGCTGGGAAATGGAATCCCAGACAGACCCTAAGGAAAGATGAGATTTCTGCCACAGACCCTTTCACAGAACAGAGGCTGCTTCCCAATACTCACAGAAAGACAAACCTAAGAACCTACAGACAGGGTAAACACGGTACACAAGTAACTTCCTGCTTCCCCAAACTAATGCGCTAGATAACACAAAGACCAGGGCAATGCTGGGTAGCACAGGGCTCAGATGGGTCTTTCTGGGAAACCTCAGTCCATTCACAGACACTACACAAGACATTCATGGCACCCCATTTATGATAGAAGGAAGATCTCAGTCATTAAACCAGGATTCTGCTCTAAACATTCACTAGGAGAGCTGGGCATGGTGGCACACACCTTTATCCCAGGGCTCAGGAGTCTCAGGCAGGAGGATCACCACAAGTTCAAAGCCAGCGTGGGCTATTAATGAGTTCAAGGCCAGCCTGAACTACACACTAAGATCCTGTCTCATACAAGAAATGAAATAGTCAACACTTGGGAGGCTGAGGCAGGAGGATCAGCTGGAGTTTGAGGCTAATCTGGGTTACATACTGAGTTTAAGGACAGTGATACCATATCTCAAAGAACAAAACAAAATAATCCCCAAAATTGTCACTAGGAAGCCAGGCATGGTGGCACAAACCTACAAACCCAGTACTCAGGAGGCTGACAGGATTGCTGAGTTCCAGGCCAGCCTAGACTACATAAGCAAGCACAAGGCAAGGCTGCAGTACATAGCGAGACCCTGCCTCAAAAACAAAAACAAAGAGCTGGCCGATGGCTCAGCAGACTAAAGTGGCTGCTTAGATAAAGCACAGGGATCCCATTCCATCCAGGGCACCACATGCTATGCCCATGCCATGCTGTGCCAGTCCTACACATGGGGGCACTGAGATAGCAACAGACTGGGTGTGGTGGTGCAAGCCTGTAATCCCAGCGCTTGGGAGGCTAAAAATAGGAGGATCACTAGAAGTCTGATCTACATAGTGAGACCCTGTAGACCTTGTACTAAATACATTAAAAACAAACAAAGGTAAGTCATGGGCTGGCCAAATAGCTCAGCAGATTAAAGAGCCTGCTTAGGCAGACGCTGCAGCCAGTTCATGCCATGCAGGCCCCAGGGCACGCTGAGATGGTGATTTGAGATTGGGTGTGGTGGCACAGGAATGCAATCCCAGGTCTTGGGAGGCTGAACACAGGAGGATCACTAGGAGTCTGATCTATGTGGTGAGACCCTGTAGATCCTGTCCTAAAATACAATAAATAAATAAATAAATAAATAAATAAATGTCAGTAGGAGAACCTGGAGAAAGCTGTCACTTATTTTTAAAATCTATTTATTCATTTTGTACAGGGTCTTGTTATACAGCTCAGACTTGTACTGATCCTGTTGTCTCAGCCTCCAAAGTGCTGGGATTAAGGCATGTGCCACCACACCCAGTTTTGGTGGCTTGTGCCAGGGGTTCCAGGGCAGCACAGCATGTGGTACCAGGGATCAAACTCGGATCCTTGTGATTGTCAGGCAGGCGCTTAGGTCACTGAGCTATCTTCCTAGCCCAGTTGTCACTAAGTGTCACAGCTAGTCATATGCTGTCATCTCGAGCAATGAAAATGCCAGGCTCTGTAGTCACAATGTTTCCTAGCATCAAGCAGCAGTGCAAGAGGTGGGAAGCCATCTCTGAGGGATGAAATACCAGCTCTGCCTCTCAAAAGCCCAGAATAAATTGGGCTGTTTCCATTAGAAAATATTAAAATTTAAATAACTTGGGACAGGGGCTGGAGAGATGGCTCTGGGTCTAAAGCACCTACTTGGAACTAGCTTGGCAAAGCATCTGGGACCGCGGTTCAATCCCCCAGCACCACATGCCAGCCAGCCCCGCCCCCTGGTGGGCTGAGCTGGCCACACACACACACCACACACTCTCTCTTTCTCTCTCTCAAATAAAATAAGTAAATAAATAAATAACTTGGGACAAATAACAAGGTCTCTTAGTCTTGGGCTCCTCAGCTATAAGGGGGATAAACAGTCCTCCAGGAATGCACAAAGGTTTACCAAATCATTCTCCATGAAACACATTAGAAAATCAGCCACTGTACAAGGAAAGCAAGCTGTAAGTTCTAGCAATAAACACTGTTAATAACATCAACATCAGGGCCGGCAAGTTAGCTCACTGGGCTATGCACCTGCTTAGGTGAGGGCAGCCATCCAGTTTGGTCTCCAGCACCACATGCTGGGTCAGCCCTGCCCCCAGGTGAGCTGAACGGGCCACAGAAACTGGGCAGGTGTGGTTGTGTATGCCTGAAATCCCAGTGTTGGGGAGGTTGAAAACAGGAGGATCACTACGAGTCTGAGCTGTGTATTGAGACCCTGTACCAAATACATAAAAAATAGAATATCAACATCAGCAGGGCCTGAAAAAAAGTTGGGCATGGTGATACATGTCTATAATCCTAGCACTTGGGAGGCTGAGATAGGAGGAGCACTGTGAGTTAAAGGCCAGTGCGAATTAGGGAAAACTCTGTTTAAAAAAAAAACAAAAAACCTAAACAAAAAACAACCATTAAATAGAATATCAGCATCAGACTCATAGTGTAGGGATCATTGTAGGACACTTGCATCTGTTCAGGTCTCTTCACACAACACAGGCTCTGTGTTGAGGCCTGCAGATATAGCAACAATAAGGAAGAGAGAAGCACAACTCAGGAGCCTCATAGTCAAGTGCTAGCAGACAAATAATACACCAACTGACACCTAAGATGATTTCTGTAGCAACAAGTACAATAAAGCACAGGATGAGGAGTGACTATGAGACATACTAAAATTTGGCAGGCAGGCAGGGCCTCCAGAGGTGACATGTACACTGGGGACTTCACGAGAAAAAAAGTGATTGTTTCCATCAGGATGGGAGAAGGAAGCCAACGAAGGATGATGGCCTTAAGCAGGAGCAGTCAGAGAAGAGACAATTGGAGCAATGAATCAAAGACACAACATAAAGAAGACTGAACCCCTCCTGGAAAGGGAGCTATTGCCCATTTTCTGCAGCCAGCAGGCAGAAGGAAAGTCTAAAGAAAGGGAAGCCTTTCCATACTTTCCTGCATCTATCACCATCCAACCTGTGTCAGCTAGACTGAGTCACTCTATCTTTCCACAAGAGCTGATAATGCAAGGAACAGATTCTCACTAGCCCAGTGAGAACAGTAGGGACAAGACCACCTTTCTAAAAACCTTTCCACTCAAAAGATTAGGGACCTAGGTGTAGTTTAGTGGTATAGCATGCGTAGTATATGCAGGAGCCTGAATTCAAAATTTACAAAGAAAAACATTAAAAGAGCAACATGTCAGACCTCTTAGAACCTGCTGCAAGCCTGGGTCTTTCTTTTTTTTTAAGGCAGGGTTTTTCTATGTAATTAAGGCTGATCTCTAACTGTGTAGCCCAGGCTGGCCTTAAACTCTCTGTCTTCCTGCCTCAGTTTCTCAAGCTCTAGAATTATAGGCATGCATCACCATGTCCAGCTAAGCCTAGGTCTTGAAAGTTAAATAGCATGTACTAACCTTGAGAAGAGGTGCAGGGCACTGAAAACTCTAGCAAATGGGGTCAGACCTACTGCCCATGTTCATCTCAATAACAACACCTCTATGGCCCCACACACCAGCTGAGCTCCAGCTCACCGCTTTGTCCCCATGAGCTCTGGGGCCCTGCTCTGCAGACGCTTGGGAGATGAGGCATTCACTCCCCTTCTGTGCCTTTTCAAGTGTCCCATCTTTATCTGTGAGCCTCTCTCTCCTTCACCATCGACTGCCACCTAGGGACAGTCACCAAATTCTCAACCCTCTGGCTCACTGCTCACAAAGACCCTGTTTGCTCCTGTGGCTTCAAGAAACAGCAGGACACAGTAGAAAATTAGCCATAACATAAGGGTCACTTGTAGGGCAGTCCCTCACAAACTAGACCACGTTGTGCAGGTATCCTTTTTCCCTTGGAAGTGGCTTCTGCCCCAAGAGAGCAGGGTCCAGGTCCCAGCTCACATGCTAGCCATGGTAGTTAAGTGTACTCCTTGACCCTATGGGCCTAATCGCCTGCCACCTGTCCAAGCTGCCTTTTCAAACAGATCTGATCCCATTCTCAGGGTGTGGGTTGGAGGAAGGATGAGCTGAAAACGGATAGGTCCAGGAATGCGGTCCCTAAGCTAACTAGGAGGAAGATAGGCTGTGCTGTTGTGCACAAGTGTCAATTCCTGCCTGTACGCTCCTGGCTTGGCTTGCCTCAAAAGTAAGCGCTAAGCAGAGGAGGGGAGAGGCTCCTTCCTCTGAGTGCCCACGCCACCCTTAGCACAGCTCCCTCCGGTGTTTAGCACAAGGTATACCAAAGGGGGAAGTGGTGTCGGGTGCCTACCAGGCTCCTGACCAAGACAAGGATTGCTTCGGCACCTCAAAATTCTCCCACAGCGATTGGTACAGGGCGATTGCTCGCAAGACGTGTGAAAGCACACATGCTTACTCTACATGGAATAACAGGATGGGGTTAAAAGTTTCCCTGCAGAGCATCGACACAGACCATAAGAGTGGCTGCAACTGGGAGCCAAGCCACCCATCCTCTCCGGCTACAGGCCCGCCCCTTCCACTCCCACCAACTGAGATCACACGGATGTGTGTGTGTGAGGGGGACAGATGCCATTTTCCTGAACGCCGCCCGCAACACGACTGCAGGGCTCAACCCATCAACAGAGCCAGGCCAGCACCTGGCTAATCCTGCGGCCCGCCGGAAGCTAGAGTCCGCGGGCCGGAAGCTGCGGCCAAACCAAAGCCGTCCCGCCCCATCCCCGTCCCGCGGCATCCGCGAGGGGCTCCAGAAAACGGCAGCCTCCTAGGAACCCGCCACAATCTGGCCCGAGCGACTACGTGTTCGGTTCAGTTGAGGGCCGCCTGTGGCCGCTGGGGGTCACTTACGAGAGCTATGGTTGCCGTCGCCATCTTGCGTCCGTCGCGGCCGCTAAGCGCCCCACACACCACAGTCTTCCGTAATCTCGCGCGATCTGGCAGCCAAGAGAGCAACTATCGCGATAAAACGCTTTTTCCCCAGAGACGCGGAAGGAGAAGTACGTATTTCCGAGGCGGAGCAAATTAATCCCCGGATAGGGCTGGTACTGATGGACAAGGTGGTGGGGGGAGTACAGCGCTGGAGGATTAAAGCAGGACCGACCCGGGTGATAGGAGCGTGCACAGTCGAGGACCTTTATGCCCCCGAGGCCTCTACATTTCTTTGGCTCGCACACTTGCATCACCTCCCGCTGGGGCCAGTGCTCTTATTTCTGTCTACTTTACTCACAGATTTAGGCGTGTTTGCTCGCCGTTACCAAGGAGACGAGAAGAGCCGCCCTCTAAGATTGAGGGAGTCTGTAGACAGCTGAGACAGGTAACAGAATTACATCTCAGGCCGAACCTCGGATTTTGAGATGCATTTTTTTTGGAAAGAAAGTTATATGTATTGGGGAAAAGAAAGCTTGCGTCTAAATCAGAAGGGGCTGGGCGTGGTGGCACACACCTGTAATCCCAGCACTCTGGAGACTGAGGCAGAAGGATTGCTGTGAATTCGAGGCCAGTCTGTGCAACAAAATGAGTTCTAGGTCAGCCTGAACTGCATTGTAAAACTTTGTCTCAAAAACCCCCAAAAATAAACACACAAAAAACAAACGAGAGACAGACACAGAAAGGGGATGGGCTAGAGATACATTGTCTTTGCACTGTAACACTTTATAGTTAGAGGAGTCCTCATGTAATTAGCAGCATGTTGGCCTTCCTAATTATTTATAAAAACTGAAGTGTCTCTTAATACAGATGCTGTTTAGGTCAGAAGGCAGCCTGAGACAGCTTGTGAACCTTTAGGGAACACTATGACTGTGGACCTGTTAGGCTCTGAGCTATATTTAAGGGCTTGGGCAGACCATCCATGTTGTGCAAAGAGCTGCCCCCACATTTGCCATGGGCTGTAACCAGCCCCCAAATCTCAACTCAAGTTATCCACCTGAAAGAAGCACCTGTAAGCTCAGGCATCTTCATGTGTATGAGGTAATGAAGTATCTTCCCAGGCTAGGCAGGTCTCTGCGACCATGGGGAAATTTAAAAATTGAATATAGAAGGGCCGGGGAGATGGCTCAGTGGAATAAGTGCTTCCCTGGCAAGCGCAAGGGCCTGAGTTCAATCCCCGGTTCCACAAAAAAAAACAAAAACAAAAAAAAAGAATATAGACACACATAATAAAATAGGCCCAAATAGTTTCTTCCTTTCCTTCAGAAATGCCTCCAAAATGATGGGAGCCTATCAAGGCAGACAGGTAGATTGTCTTGGAGTTGTAGAACTGGATAGCAGAGCTGCTTTATTCCATTGGTATGTGGAAGTTAGTGTCTGAAGGATCTTGTCTAGGTGCACCTGGGAAGCAGGACACCCCAGACCTCTGTTGCTACCTACCACTAGGGCTGACAGGCACTGCCCCACCAACAGGAGCTGGGATGCGAGCTCCAGAAGAGAAGCTCTGAGGCTTTGCCCTGTTTCAAAAATGAGTGGTGAGAAGGTCTTCCCCTTTCCCTACCTCCAATCATGTTCCCAGAGCTTGGCCTCCAACATGCTCTACCCAGGCTCTTCTGAGAGGAGGATACCCCATTCACCATCTCCAAGCTCTAAAGAAGACTAGCAGCAAGAGTGCCTAGTAGAATGGTCCAATCAGACTCCAGACTCCCAACTAACCAAGCAATAAACTCCAGTCACAAAGAGCAGCTCATTCTAAAACACAAGTGGATAGCTCAGGATCATCAGGTACAAGAGAATGAGGAGAAGGAGGGAGCGAGAGGAGGAGGAGGTTGAAAGGTAACATTGGAGCTGGGGAGGTAGTTCAGTGGAATAAGTGCTTGCCTGGTAAGGGCAAGGTATGATCCACCAAAAAAAAAAAAAAAAAAAAAAAAAGCCTTACATTTGGGCTGGCCAAATAGCTTAGTGGATTAAAGTGCCTGTAAGCAGGGGCCAGGGGTTCAATACCTCAGCCTGCTTTGCTGGCCCCACCCCCAGAGTGCGCTGTGACAGAGATTGAGACTGGGCGTGGTGGTGCTCGCCTGTAATCCCAGCTCTTTGGCGGCTGTAAACAGGTGGATCACTGCAAGTCCTATCTAGTAGTGAGACTCTGAACACTCTGTAGTCCCTTCCCTAAAAAAATACAAAAAAAAAAAAAAAAAAAAAAGGTAACTTTGGAATCTTCCAGAATGCATAATAAAACCATATGGGTAGAAAACAGAAACTGCAGTAATCACACTGGTCAGGACTCTCCTGTGCTTAGGACCTACCTGGCTCACCAGAGCTTCCATAGTGGAAGGGGTAGGTGAGCTAGGTCTTACCGCCACCAGGGGTGACCCTTGGTAGCAGTTTCCAAGTAGACAGTAATATGTAATGCTACACTTAGGTACTTGGGGCCTGGCACCTTGTGTCCCTGTCTTACCAGAGTTCAGCCTTCTTGCCCTCCTTACAGCGACACTCTGCAGCAGTACACCCATTAAGGAGGTTCAGGGTCGACTAAGGTTACATCTCAGGGAACACAAAGCAGCTCCAGAGCCTGGGCCCTTAACTACATCATTGCATTCTTCCAGAGGTAAGTCCTGTATTGCAAATCCAGAAAATAAGGAAAGCAACAACAACAAAAAATAACCAAAGATCCGCCGCTTGCAGTGCAGGCCTTGCCTGTGGGGTATGCTCAGAAGGCGACTGGGCGTGGTGGCGCATGCCTGTAGTCCCAGCACTTTGGGAAGCTGTAAACAGGAAAATCACTGAGTCCAATCCACATAGTGAGACCCTGTAGACCTTACCCTAAAATACAGAAAAAATAAATAACTGAAGATTTCTGTTTCTGAATAATGAGCGAGTCACTGAAAATTTCCAAAGCACTGGAGCAAAGAAAAGATGGAGAAAAAATGAGAAAGAGCTGTACCAACCCGGCCCAGGTTGTGGCAGCAATTGAGACTGGGTGTGGTGGTGCACGCCTGTGATACCAGCACTTGGGAGGCTGTAAACAGGAGAATCACTAGTCCTATCTAGTAGTGAGACTCTGAACACCATGTAAATACCTGACACTCAAAATGAAGGAAGGAAAGGTTTACTTAGCTCACAGTTACTGGAGGGTTCAGTCCATATTCTGCTGGCTCCAAGGCAAAGGACAGCAGTTCATTGAGAGAAAACAATGAAGAGCAGAGGAGGAGCAGCAGCTGCAGCGTCCGTCAAGCCTCTGTCTTCCTTCTACACTGACTGCCAAGACTGGCGCTCCATGGCTATCAGCTCTTTCAAAGTGGCATGGCTGTGAAGATCAAGCTCCTCCAAAGAGTCGGATTTCTCCATTGAAGTGGGGCAGGGCGGCCAGGAAGCCTTTCTCAATTCCTGGGCCCTGCCCACCTGCAGGGCTAGGCCCCCACCCAGAGAACTGCTGGAGCTGATTCAGCCAAGTTGACACGGTGTATCAACTAACACAAGGCCCTTCCCTAAAAATACCAGAGAGAGAGAGAGAGAGAGAGAGAGAGAGAGAGAGAGAGAGAGAGAGAGAGTGCTTATAGGTTAAAGATCAGAGGTCAGAGAGGCGTGAGGGTTCTGGGAACTAGAAAAAAATGGCATGACACCCTAATAGTCCTGGGGGAGAAGTTATTTCAAAGAAGTCAAGCTTTTTTTTTTTCTTATGATAGTGGTACTGGGGACTGAACCAGGGCCTTTGTGCTGAGCTACTTACACAGTCCTTTATTATTTGAGACAGTGTTGCATTAAATCACCCAAGTAGACTCAAAGTTGTCATC